ACATTGTATCACGCGTATGCGCGATCAATGGGCACAAGCTTTTCGGGGCGAGACGAGGCCGTCAGCTCGCCGACATGGTCCCATAAAGGGGCGGACACGGGGACAATGGTGAAGGCGTGCAAAGCCGTTTCTTCTAAACCAAAGGCCACACCGTTCACAGTCTGGCAAATCCGCCAAACCCCATATGAAGACCTTGTCATTGAGAGGCAGCTGATTCCAGCCAATCGCCAGGTAAGCGAAAACTCAGGGTTACTGAGATAATCCGCTGCTGGCGCCCAAGACCAATAAGAGCGAAACTCCTCCTCCGACAAGTCGAGATCCTCACGTAGGGAATCCTTCGCGACCCCCTCCACTAACAAAAGATAGAAGACCTTCCTAGGCCGAGAAAAGTCACTGGACCAGGGACAGCCAACAAGGCCGACCGACACTCGCGAAAAGAAAACCGATTGAACCCGGGGTTTACGACGGCGCTCCACCCGCGAGCTTGGGGAACTGATGGTAAGGCGAGGAAAGCGGCCCTCACAATCCCCTCAATAATCGGATCTCCACCTGTCAACGCGCGGCGTAGGAAAGCCAACTTCGAGGCACGTTTGTGGCTCAGCAATTGTTGCATTCTCAGCCCCCCATGACACGGACGTTGTGCACAGACTTCTCTGTCGACCCGATTCCCGCGTCCCCTCCATAAGATGGAGGATAGCGAGAGCTCGAGCGGCTTCCTATGGTCGTCACAGAGAGGAAGTACGGACAATCGATAAAGGACAAGGAAAATATATGTAGCACACACCTCAGCCCTGCCCTTCACGGACAACCTCCGTCGACGCCAAGTCTGACCGGCGGCGTCGACCTTTGCTCGTGACCAATTCTTCTTCAGCTGGAGGTCGGGTCAAAACCACACTCCGAGAATGCGGACAGGACCGTCCGTCCAACCGAAGGGCCCCGGAAGATCGACCCCCTTCCAGGCACCTAGCCGCAAGCCGGACGACTTGTCGCGGTTAATCTTGGCCCCTGTCACCATTTCGTACCGATCAAGCGCCTTCAGTACCGCCTCAATGTCTCTGTGGGACGACACGAAAGCAGATACGTCATCGGCGTACGCGGAAACCCTGGCTCGAGCCCCGGCAGGAACGGCGATTCCGCGTAGGGCCGGACTGCACCAATCCCTCGGCCGGCGAAGGAGAGGCTCCAACGCCAAAGCGTAAAAGTAGGGGCGACAGTGGGCAGCCCTGACGAACCGACCTAGACAGCGCAAAAGCGCCCGACAGCTTCCGTTCACCTGTACCACAGCACTGGGGAGCGATACAGGAGGATAATCAGCGGCAGAAATCGGGTGCGAATCCGGCGGCCTGCAGGACAGCAGCAAGGTAGCGATGGTCAACCCTATCAAATGCCTTGGACTGATCCAAATTGATCAGAGCAGCCTCGTCGTCGTCTTTTACTCCCTCTATGATCGTACGGATCAAATGCAGGTTGCTCTGAATTGTTCGACCCCTCACAGCACAGGTCTGCTCGGGACCCAACAGAGACTCGGCAACGGACTGCAAGCGCTCCTGCAGGATCTTGACCAAAATCTTTAACTCTGTGTTTAGCAGAGTTATGGGCCTGTAGTCGTCTAGTTTTCCCCCAACACCCTTGCCCTTTTTCAACAGCGTGATCCACCCCTGGAAAACCGGTCGGGGAGGGACCCCTGCCGGAACCAGTTGTTGAACACGACTGTCAAAATCGGGACAAAGATGTGCGACAGCCTCAAGTACACTTCATAGGGCAGACCATCCAGACCGGGCGACTTGCCTCTGCCGACCTTCTTCAAAGCCGCGTAGACCTCGCCCTCGGTAATCTCTCACTCGCAGCTAGCCGCTTCAGTCGGCGAAAGCCGAGGAAAGTCAGCCAAATAGCTGCGAAACTCGTCCTCACGAAGACCAGGCTCCTTGGTAAAGCGACTCTCGAAATGCCACCGAAAGGCTTCGCACATGTCGTCAGTGGTCCGAAGGGTACGCCCCTCCGGGGTTTGACTTCACGAATGTAACGATCGCCACCTCGACGGACCTCTTCCCTGCGCAGATCTGCGCCCATATTCACGGCTTCGGAAAACATCTTGCTTAACCTATGTCTAATTACCTGGCCCATGTAGCGCTCGCTATTCAAACGCCTCAGGGCCTCCTTAGGTACGGCTACCTCTAGGGGATCCCTCCCCAGTCACCGCCCGGGAATAACTAGCTTTAAGAGTCCTCACCTTATCATCCGTTTGCTGAAATCAGTAGTGAAGGACTTAATTCTACATTTAAGTCTGTCCCACCACCTATTCCCGATAACCGCCCCCACTAGCTCCCGCTGCACTAAGCTAGTCAGCTGCTCCCGGAAGTCCCGCCTGTCCAGTAAAGACAGATGGAACTTCCAGTAACCAGCCATTCTAGGCCTATGTTCTAACGCCACACGGGCACAAACAGGTTTGTGGTCCGTATAGCCTACCAGTGGAACGTGGGACAATCTAACAAATCTGTGTCGGCCCTTCTGACTAACATTCTGTCAAGGTAGCTAACCACCTTGTCACAAGGCCCTACGAGCCCACATCCATTTTCCCCGGGGTGATCGACCCGGTATCTATCAACGAGAGCAAAATCTTCGATCAGATCGACCAGGCTACGATCGCCCTTTCTCCCTCTAGCACCACTATCGCCCCGATCTAGGATGGGTCCAGTCCCCCATTAGAACTAAGCGCATCGAATCCACCAGGAAGGGCTCCAACTGCCGAAAAACGAAACCCGCTCCTCCATAAACCGCAACGACCCGAAACGAACCACTTTTCACGGCAATATCGGTACGATCAACCTGCCCTCGGCATCGGTATGCACAAGGTCCACCTTCGCATCTAGAGTCCGCTTCGCCAGCAAAAGACACTCCTCTGGCAGCTCCGGTCCCCATATGCTGAATAGACGACAAAGTCGTTAGACCCGCACACGCATCGGAACTGCAAACAAAGTGGGTCTCTTCGATCGCGGCGACATCCCGCCGAACGACAAGAGGTCCCGGAGCAGGGGGGCCGCCTTTACCCGATCCCTCAAGCCCTTCATTCAACGTCGCTATCTTAATTTCCATCTTCTAAGCCCTGTAAAATATAAAAACAAATTAACCTATTCACATACCGGGCGGAAATTTGCAGCAGTAAGGACCCGACGGATTGTCCCAGGTTTCCCTGTATCCAACTCGGTCGTCATACGACCACCCAGGACAACACCGCCAACGTCCGTGGGGTAAATTAATTTCATGGCCCTATACAAAGAGGGATGGAGCAGAACCGGGACCCTCCCAGTGCAAAAATGCCTCATTGTTTTGAGGTCTTCATTATTTTCTTCCATTACCCTTATTTCCGGATAATCTTCTCGAGCCTCATATATATAGCTCCAAACTTTCAAGTATGCCCATGTGTCTCTTACGACGGTGATGACACCTGGGGCATTAGGAAAGTTTCGTGGATCCTCTACCGATTTCCCATCTACCTCGTCAAGTCTAAATAGGGAGCCCCAAAGGGCCCTTTTTTTTTCGACAGGTCTTTTTGCCTCCTCCTTATCTGTTTTACAGATCCCGTCTGGACCAGGGAAGTACTTTTTCTTTTCTTTTCCTTCTCCCTAGCACGATGGGGAGGGAGGAAGTGGACGCGTGGGGGTAGCCATTGAACTCAGGGTGTATTGGGGAAGAGGGGAGTTTGGAGCACAGGAAGGGGGAAGAAGGAGGCTCCTAACTTTGGCAGGGCTGGAATATCTTATTGGCGAAGCCAGGAAGGGCGCCGCCTGGTTCTGTCCATGCTTCGCTCCTCCTGCTACGGCCAGACTGTTCATTTCCTCTGGATCTTCCTCCTGCTCCTTTTCAGGGACACAGTTCATGGTGGAGGCATTTTTTCTACCTCCATTGGTGTTTCTTTCTCCACCTGCTTTTGTTTGTGGAGGTGCTGCTGCTCTTGTTGCTGCTGCTGCTGTCGTTTTTGATGCTGCTGTTCCGGTTTTGGATGTTTCTGCTGCTCTTGTTGCTGCTGCAGTTTTTGTTGTTTTTTCTTCGAATGCTGGTGTTTTTGTTGATGTTGCTGAAGAGATTGTTGCTGCTGAAGCTTCTCTTTCTGCTGCTTCTGCTGCTGCTGGAGTTTTTGTTGTTCTTGTTGCTTCTCCTGCCGCACTGGAGGAGATGGTGGAGATGACACTTTCCCCCCTTTCCTCAGTTCCGTCCAGGCTCCCGGGCCAGCCTTTTCCTTTGTTGGTGCCACCTCTGTCACTGCTGTTGCTGCTGCTGCTGCTGCTGGAGTCTCTTTTTTGTAGTCTGCTGGGCCTTTTCCCAGGGCACTCTTTTGCACCACCGCCCAACAACACGGCTTCCTTCCTCCACCACCAGCATCTTCTTCTCGGCAAGTCAATACATTTGGTATGTCCCGGAAGTTGTCCCTATCCAGGACCACCTGGAGCACCATGTCTCCGTCGCTATACCTGACTTGCTTCGGGCGCACTAACTTCCTCCACTTGGCCCGAATTTGGCGAAAAACGCTCCTATTCTGTCTTGGGTAATGTCGACAGGAACGCAGTGGACAGTAATCCGCGTCTTTCTCGTCCCCATGTATTCCGTTTGGAGGCGCAAGTTTGGTGTGGACAAGATGTTTCCGGCAAACTGCTTCGCCTCTTGCTCAAGCAGAATGTCCCACATGGCATTGCTTCTGCGGGCTAACATTTTGGGGGCAATCTTGAGGGTCTTTAGAGCATCCTCTACATTGTCTCTGCTGACTCAATCAGTCTATGGGTTTGACATCCGATGTCAGCAGAGAGATAACTTTGACCTTGATGGCGTCCAAGGTCTCCGGAATTGTGATAAACTCATTCCCATTCACGTACTCTTCGTATTTCTGCCGTTGTTCTTCGTAATACGAAGAGTCTTTTTTCTTCAGTCTACTCTGGGACCAGGCCTGTGTTTTCGCAGGTGACAAATTTTGAGTTTGCACCGGTGAAAATTCCGTTGGTGGAGTC